CATAAGAGGCGACTAATGAGATCGGGTGGTGAGGCTCGCTGACTTGGTTGACACATGTCATCGTATCCCAATTGCGTAGATCAATGCTCATGATGCTGATCACTGGATTGTCAGGTCAAGACTCGATATTTTACAGACCGCCGCCATATAGCTAAAATATTGCAGCATTAAACAACAAACAAGCAAAACCTGTTTGTTAAAAAAGTCTTATGGCTTGGTAGTTACATTCATCTTAGTACTGAGATGACTTTGTGAGACAGGCCCTGTAGCATCAAAGTTGGTTGTACGCTACTACATAATCATCTTGAATCTATAATAGAGTGTATAGACATTTATGACAACGACAAAACAACAACTTCAGTATTATATGTACAAAACTTATCAACATTTAGGATTAACATGAAAACATTGTCATGGATAAATCTGTGTTCAGCGCTGATGTCTGTAGAGACGAGATATTGACCCACGCATACGTCCTCCATCACAGCTGCCTCTTACACGCCATGTGATTTGACCATTAACACTTATGCCACCTACAACAAAGTCAGCGGTACCTAAATACCATCTGTGCTGTGACCCCAAGAAAGTTCAGGCACCTTGGGAATTATGCTTGTCTTAGCGATAAGATGACTTTGTGAAAGAGTCCCCTGTGTCTCAGTACTGGATGTATGTTACTACTATAATCAGGTTGCATTTACAAGAACCTTTATAGACATATAGCAGCGGGATATATCATGAAGAACCACTTCTTTGTTACACAATGTTTCACCCTTTCAGATTACCTTGTTAAGAACATGATCATGAATAATCTGTCAGTGGTCAGTGCCGAGAGGAGATATTGACCACCAACATGACCTGAAGCCCAGCCACGTCTGTCACGCTATGTGATTTGCCCATTATCGGTCACTCGTGCCACCTTCAGCAACGTCATCCAGCCTTAATAACATCTCTGCTGAGACCACGAAAAGTTACGAGCACCCAGGGAAGGGGTCCTTGTAATAAAACACCCACTCTTCCAAGTTCTCAAGCTTATCATAAATAAGAAGTAATTCTGTTGCATTACGGCCCAATCATATGGCCGTCCCTATCATTGATTAATCATTTCATTTTGGTAGTGGCTATAATGTTGATTATTGTAGGCCTTCTAGTTGCGGTAATTTGAATGTCAGATTAGGTCTCCCCCAGTGGCTGGGATAGAAAGGCGAGCTTGGCTATGTCAGACATGGAATTTATGTCCGTCCTTTCTCAACTATTTAGCTCTGAAATGTGTAAGATGATGATTCAAAAGGTTTATGCCTCTTTTACTGCTCTACCTTCAGGTTTATTATGAGTGAATTGTTCCATAGAGTGCTGTGTACGTTTTGAAGTCATCTCACATTTACCTTAATGTTATATTGTCTTTCAGTGAGAGTGAGTTAGTGGATGGGTGGGTGGGTATTGGTTGAGTGAGTGGGTGGGTGGTGTTTGGATGGATGGGTGGGTAGCTGACAGGGTAGTAAATCAGTGAGTGAGTGAGTGAATCGTTCATTTAGAACCGCCTCTAAAGGTCCGGGGTAGAACTGGTCTTCAGCAACCCACAGGATCAGGTGGTCGGGCTTGCTGACTTGGTTGACACATGATATCAAATCCCAGTTGGGTATATTGATGCTCATGATGTTGATCACTAGACTGTCTGGTCCAGACTTGATTACGTACATACTGACACCATATAGTGGTGTTAAACAACAAACAAACAAGTCATATAGAGACTTTTTAACATATACCAAGTGGCTATTCTAGGTTAGAATGGGTCCCCAGCATCCAGGATTAGAATTAGCTGCCTGCAGTTAGTCAAATGCCTGTAACCTTTGAATTGTTCTAGTAACATTTCCCTAAAGTTGGCCCAAATGTCTAGTCATTAATTTTTTATTTCAAGCAGCTTTTTGAATCATCAAGTCAGTTACAGGTTATTGTCTGTTGACATTTTGTTTTCAGTTCATAGTTTAACGGAACATTGATTGTAACAACAACATCTGACAAACGTATAACACTAAGTCAGTTAGCAGTTTTGGTGCTGATTAGTTTAATAATCTCGTGAGTATTTTAATACATATGGCAAATGGTGGCCTCCATGAAGTAGGGTTAGTAATAGGTAATGAACGTTTGCAACATTATTTAACAAGTCCTCATGGCTAGTGAACTCTGGAAACTAATTCCTGGCAGTAATATATGCTGGTTCTGTCAGTGTAAATGGATTGTCAGAAGGTCAGGGGCTGTGATGTCTGATTCCATCTCATTGTACCCAAGTATATGTCAGGGTAGAGACTGCGATCTGGTAGAATCGGAGATTTTACCAGTAGAGATTGCGATCGGAGTCTCTACCAGTAGAGACTGCGATCAGAGTCTCTACTGGTAGAATCTCGATCCTACTAGTAGAGATTGTAAGCGTAATGGGGGTTAACTTCTTTGGTCATGGAGTCATCGACTTTGGATCAGAAGGTCCTTGGTTTGAACCTTGTCGGACTCAGAAATTTTTGTTACATTGACAGTGTTATGTTGCATTTTGTCATGTGGACCATGTGAAAAAGGTGTTAATGACCTTATATCAGAAGGTCCATGGTTTGAATCCCATCAAGGGTCTTGGAAAGTTTATGCCCACTACATTGGCACTCGATATGGGTCTGAGCATGTTCAAATTTAATTTTAGCAAATTAAGTCTCAGTATTCTGCTATGCAGCTTGGGATGTGCCTTCTGTTTGTGGGGTTAGTAAGTAGCTTGGCTTGCTGACAGGATTAACTGCTTTGGTGATGTGGACAAGGTGTCAGATCAAAAGGTTAGTGGTTCAAATCCCAGTACACGACTTGGAAGGTTTAATACAGCTCGTAACAATTACTTGAATAGTTTTAATGCTTTAGTCAGTCATATACCAGCTGTATCAGGGCTGCCTGTATATCCCAGTCTGGACCAGGCAAACCAGTGGTTGAAAGTATGAGCAACAGTCCAAACCAGGACCTTCATCAATGATGAGCGAACGCTATAACCACTGGGCAACCCCACTATCCTTAAGTCTTTCAACAACATGGGTTCCTAGGGACCAATCCTGACATGTCCCTCTCACTGAGGATTGCATGTTAGTTTTATCAAACCCAGACCTTCTTCAATGATGAGCAAACACTTAAACCACTGGGCAACCCCACTATCCTTAAGTCTTTCAACGACATGGGTATCTGTGGACCAATCCTGACATGTCCCTCTCACTGAGGATTGCATGTTAGTTTTATCAAACCCAGACCTTCTTCAATGATGAGCAAACACTTAAACCACTGGGCTACCCCACAACCTTAAGTCTTTCAACAACATGGGTTCCTAGGGACCAATCCTGACATGTACCTCTCACTGAGGGTTGCAAGTTCATTTTTTTCTAATAAAGTCTATGTGTTGTTCATGGGAAATTTATGAGTGTTGGTGGGTTTTCGTTTCATCAAAATGCCAACATACCATAACATGACAATGTTGTTTATAATATGTTTAAAAACACACTCTTATTACAAATTGGTGTATATAATGAACTGTTTTTTTTCAATCCTGGACTCTTGTTATATATATGATCAAAATGCATATAACAAAGTACGGTTATAATGAACTAAAATTAGTGGTTCCTTTAGTTCGTTATAACCACAAAGAATTTTCTGAAAATAATGAACCCATGTAAGAAATCAAACTAACATCAGTGTGATGAGCAAACAATTTAACCACAACACCAGCCAACTGCTTTCAGGAAGTTAAAGAAAATCTAATGTTCCATCTATTTTAATCCTAATCCATTCTTAAAGGAATTACGTAACAAACTGTCATCCTCTTGAAATTGAATAGCAATCAGACATGACTTCTTTGTTATGTGTTAGATGTGGAATTAATAACATCCTTAGCTCTAATGCCTTTCTGCCATCACAAATGGGTAGTTTACCGTTTTCACAAATGTCTAACGCCCTCCTTGAAACCATTTGATTGCTGCAACTGAAACTGTTTTCAAGATGCTTCAGAGTGTTCAAAGAAGAAAATCTCAGGTTCAACACGACTGCTGATCAAATGGTTCAACCTTTAAAAAGCTTACGTCTTCTTTGATGACGGAACTGTTCAATTGATTGAGAACTTTGTGGATAATATGACTGTTGTATGTCCAGTACTTAAACTGATTAAAGAATCTTGTTTACAAATCCAATGATACCACCAGCGGTTTTCCTGATATATGGGAAAATGGCTCAAATAGAGTATAACCATGCAACCTTTCTTTGAAAGGATGATCTTAGTATGAGGAAAAGGAGAAAAAAGATCATCTAATGTATGTTTTTTGCTCAATTTGTTTTGAGAAAACAGGCATGTTTTTCTGTTCCTGCTCATTAGATGACATTGTGAAGGTCGTGCGGACAGTTCGGCTGTTAGCTTTCACTGCAAAGTGCACGTCTGTATAATGTTTATGGTGAGACGTTTTTTGGATATCTTGGATTTTTTGTTGTTGCCATATTGACTGTTTGGGGATGCAGAAGAGGCTCTCTCTCTTCACCTTATCTCATGTCCGTTGACACAATTTGTGTCCTAGACTGGAATATTTCTTCAAGAAACCTGTTGTCAACTGATGGATTTCACTATGTCAGAGTTGTCTTTTGCAAGGAAATGCATTTAGTTAGTAAGTAATATAGTGCAAGGGGTCTGTTCAAAGATGTCAAGTGATATGACAGAATGAGAAATATGAAAAGTTTCATTTTGAATATTCTGCACACTGGACTGCTAAAGTGCAGCTTGTTGTATAGAGTGGTCTCCCTTTGCTGCCAGGATCTGCTGACTGAATCCTACATTAGCCCAAATATGGTATTAGGACTGAAATTATGAAAGGAGTGATGTGACTGGTGCCAGAAGAGCTACTACCTTCACTCTTCTTATTTTACTGTGTTGGACGTTGTACAGTAAAAACATTCAGTGTTTCGAGCGAATTATAAATGTTCTGTTTTATTTGTTTCAGAGGTGGAAGCCACTGTTTGACCAGGTGAGTACATGTACATCACTATTTTACTATATACATAGCTCACCTTGAGAACATGTTAATCCTCTCCTTTAGCTCACCAGACTTTTAGAATCGGTTCTGTCATTTTTACAATGTATTCTGACATCTTAATGTGAAGGTTATGCCATTGTTGGTAGCACTGGATCAAGTACTAATGGTCTGAGGTGAGGTGAGGTGAAATTGGGTTTAACGTCGTGCTGGAGAATATTTCGCTCATATGACGACGTGCATGCGTGTGTATGTGTATGTGTGGCTGCTTGTACTAGCCCAGACTTAAGCTGGTTTTATAGTGCTAGCCCACTGAGATACCATGCCGCAGTGAAGCATGAATACCCCACTCAGACACATTATACTGACTCCAAGCCGACCAGTCCTTGTTGTACCCATTAATGCCGAGCGCCAGGCAGGGACCAACAAGTACCATATTTTAACGTCTTTTGGTATGACGTGGTCGGGGATCGAACCCACGACCTTCCGCTCTCCTGGCGGACGCTCTAACCACTACACCACGGAGGCGGTCACTAATGGTCTGAAGTGACTCTTGAATTGTCATCATGCTGTTAGTGGTTGTTGCCATAATCAGATTGTCCAGCTTTTATTCCCTGTTGTTTTTAACATGTATGACACAGAACAGTTATGTTCCTGATTAACTGTCCATCTTTATCATTAAAATATTCTGTGAAATTTACAAATTTTAGATATGAATTGCAGTATGTATATGTGTCCCAGCATAGCAATCTTAGCACTATCATAAGACTGTGTTAAAGGCAGGGATTTATGATCATCTTAGAGCTTAAGATGGCTTTGTGGAACGCGCCTGATTTGTACTATGAATAAGGTCATTATGGCAAAGTTATTTCATTATCAACATTAAACTAGAAATATATGATTGACCCACTTACATAGTGACCTGCTGACTCTGGCAACTCGTAAACATTTTTGTGGTCAGACTTCCATTCTCTGTTCAACAAACACAGCCTCCATAATTCATGCTTGTTGTCAAGCCTGAGACTACAAAAGGGCAGTTAACATTCTAATCATGGTAGTCCTCAGTGACATGTGAGGGCAATAATTGTTAGCCAGGACTCAATCCTCTGATTTTACTACACATAAGGACCAGCTACAAATTCTGAGGACAAGTGAAATAGATTTTGTAGTAGTTATCTGCACTAGTTTTACATAAACATATTTTTAAAGCTGCCGAACATGTGATGGATGATATGAAATCGCAAGCTATATGTGATTTGGGGATCAGATCCACTCTTTTCACAGATGAATAAAAAGGTCTGTAGGGCAATCAAAATGGAAAACAACATGGGTTGAGAGGAAATTATTAATGATGTTGAAACTTTGGTGTTTGTTAAGACAATAGGTTTGATAATGGATCAGTTTGGTTTGGAGTGCATAATTTTATATGTTTCCACAGTTTTGTTTCTGTCCTATTCTGGGTAATGAGTGGAAAGTTTCCTTTTCATTATTAGATGTTCTGTCTTTCCTGATGGTCCCAAGGGACATCGGTGCCAGGCCTCACTGTGTAGTAATAGTCTATGAAAACATGAAGCCCATCTGCAGAGCATCTTGTCAAGCACATTTTTCAGACCTTCCTCAGACATGCAAAGGCCCTGAAATATGTAAATGTATTAACTGTGTAATTGCCAAAGCAGGAGCTTGCTGGTGCAAGGTTGCAGAATAGTGCCAGATGTCTTGAAAAGTGGTTGGTAAGGTATTTAGAAGCATTCTCACAGACTTTTTCAGGCTTTGTTTCAAGTCTGTTGATGGCATGTGGTCCAGACCATGGCATATAGGTAATGAATTAATTGAAACAGAGGCAGGACAATTGGCAGTACTAAATTAATTTTAAAACATTGACTTCACAATAGCCAACTTTCCCTTTTTGGAAAGCAATAACCTAGCAACTCTATCCTTTGGTATCTACACTTAGCATAAGGTACAATCATGCATATTTTTATGAAGTTAGCAAAGTCTTTTGCTCCAAGTTGTATGATGAGGGTTACAACATTTCATTCCGTTGTAAAGCTTTATGTTAGCTGTATGTGGAGGATGTTTACAGATCTAACCAAAATAATGTCTGAAGCAAATGTGATGTAATTTAGCTTGTATGGTATTATTCTTATTTGTGGAGGGGAACATGGGACTTACCGGGCGCATTTGTTGTTGGTGCACTATGCTCATCTATTTTCAAACATCCGGTGTAATTGTTATGACATTGTGATTCATAAATTCATGCACATGATAAATAGAATCAGTGTCCAATGGTTGTAGGACAGGTTTTATCATGATTATGGTTCTAGGGCTCCTGAATTGCATGTTTCATGCTCTGCAAGCTTGGCTTCTGAGAGTTCTAGGGCTCCTGAACTGAATGACTCAAATTCAACAAGCTTGGCTTCTGAGAGTTCTAGGGCTCCTGAACTGCATGACTCAAATTCAACAAGCTTGGCTAATGGTCTGCTTGAATTTTGGACTCTCTCAGGAGTCTGCTGTCCAGTGTAATATAATGTTGTGCCTTGTGTTGGCATCTGCATCACACTATACATGTCACCTTTAAAATGCATGACTCAAATTCATGTGTATTTTAGGTTCTGGTAGAGCACTAGGTTGCTCAATGGCTCCTGAACTGCATGACTCAAATTCAACAGAGCTTGACTCTTCAACAAGCTTAGCTGAGAGTTCTTGGGCTCCTGAACTGCATGACTCAAATTCAACAAGCTTGGCTTCTGAGAGTTCTAGGGCTCCTGAACTGCATGACTCAAATTCAACAAGCTTGGCTTCTGAGAGTTCTAGGGCTCCTGAACTGCATGACTCAAATTCAACAAGCTTAGCTTCTGAGAGTTTTAGGGCTCCTGAACTGCATGACTCAAATTCAACAAGCTTGGCTTCTGAGAGTTCTAGGGCTCCTGAACTGCATGACTCAAATTCAACAAGCTTGGCTTCTGAGAGTTCTAGGGCTCCTGAACTGCATGACTCAAATTCAACAAGCTTGGCTTCTGAGAGTTCTAGGGCTCCTGAACTGCATGACTCAAATTCAACAAGCTTGGCTTCTGAGAGTTCTAGGGCTCCTGAACTGCATGACTCAAATTCAACAAGCTTGGCTTCTGAGAGTTCTAGGGCTCCTGAACTGCATGACTCAAATTCAACAAGCTGAGCTTCTGAGAGTTGTAGGGCTCCTGAACTGCATGACTCACAATCTACAAGCTTGGCATCTGAGAGTTCTAGGGCTCCTGAACTGCATGACTCAAATTCAACAAGCTTAGCTTCTGAGAGTTCTAGGGCTCCTGAACTGCATGACTCAAATTCAACAAGCTTGGCTTCTGAGAGTTCTTAGGGCTCCTGAACTGCATGACTCAAATTCAACAAGCTTAGCTTGGCTTTGAGAGTTCTAGGGCTCCTGAACTGCATGACTCAAATTCAACAAGCTTGGCTTCTGAGAGTTCTAGGGCTCCTGAACTGCATGACTCAAATTCAACAAGCTTAGCTTCTGAGAGAGTTCTAGGGCTCCTGAACTGCATGACTCACAATCTGCAAGCTTGGCATCTGAGAGTTCTTGGGCTCCTGAACTGCATGACTCAATTTCAACAAGCTTGGCTTCTGAGAGTTCTTGGGCTCCTGAACTGCATGACTCAAATTCAACAAGCTTGGCTTCTGAGAGTTCTAGGGCTCCTGAACTGCATGACTCACAATATGCAAGCTTGGCTTCTGAGAGTTCTAGGGCTCCTGAACTGCATGACTCAAATTCAACAAGCTTGGCTTCTGAGAGTTCTAGGGCTCTTGAACTGCATGACTCAAATTCAACAAGCTTAGCTTCTGAGAGTTCTAGGGCTCCTGAACTGCATGACTCAAATTCAACAAGCTTGGCATCTGAGAGTTCTAGGGCTCCTGAACTGCATGACTCAAATTCAACAAGCTTGGCTTCTGAGAGTTGTAGGACTCCTGAACTGCATGACTCAATTTCAACAAGCTTGGCTTCTGAGAGTTCTAGGGCTCTTGAACTGCATGACTCAAATTCAACAAGCTTAGCTTCTGAGACTTTTAGGGCTCTTGAACTGCATGACTCAATTTCAACAAGCTTGGCTTCTGAGAGTTCTAGGGCTCCTGAACTGCATGACTCAAATTCAACAAGCTTGGCTTCTGAGAGTTCTAGGGCTCCTGAACTGCATGACTCAAATTCAACAAGCTTAGCTTCTTAGAGTTCTAGGGCTCCTGAACTGCATGACTCAAATTCAACAAGCTTGGCTTCTGAGAGTTCTAGGGCTCCTGAACTGCATGACTCAAATTCAACAAGCTTGGCTTCTGAGAGTTCTAGGGCTCCTGAACTGCATGACTCAAATTCAACAAGCTTAGCTTCTGAGAGTTCTAGGGCTCTTGAACTGCATGACTCAAATTCAACAAGCTTGGCTTCTGAGAGTTCTAGGGCTCCTGAACTGCATGACTCAAATTCAACAAGCTTGGCTTCTGAGAGTTCTAGGGCTCCTGAACTGCATGACTCAAATTCAACAAGCTTAGCTTCTTAGAGCACTAGGGCTCCTGAACTGCATGACTCAAATTCAACAATCTTGGCTTCTGAGAGTTGTAGGGCTCCTGAACTGCATGACTCAAATTCAACAAGCTTGGCTCCTAAACTGCATGACTCAAATTCAACAAGCTTAGCTTCTTAGAGCACTAGGGCTCCTGAACTGCATGACTCAAATTCAACAAACTTGGCTTCTGAGAGTTGTAGGGTTCCTGAACTCCATGACTCAAATTCAACAAACTTAGCTTCTGAGAGTTCTAGGACTCCTAAACTGCATGACTCAAATTCGACAAGCTTGGCATCTGAGAGATCTAGGACTCCTGAACTGCATGACTCAAATTCAACAAGCTTGGCCTCTGAGAGTTGTAGGGCTCCTGAACTGCATGTCTCAAATTCAACAAGCTTAGCTTCTTAGAGCACTAGGGCTCCTGAACTGCATGACTCAAATTCAACA